CTTAAACGAACTTTTTTCTTGGGTAACTTTATCCGACATTAGATTCCTATTCCTCCGCCTTTCGATGTAACAGCGTAACGGGTTTCATCCTTAAAAGCACGACTCTACCTTAGAATATGCCATTGAGTAAAGCTGTTGATACGCAGAAAGCCCCAAAATAAATACTTCTTTTTAATTTTTTATTTATTTATTTATTTATTTATTTTGCAACAGTAACCCCGTAGGAGCTGTACAACTACCCCTTTTTTTAGAAAAAATATTGGTACTTCCTGCATTTTGACGACGGCTATGGACCAAAAACCATGCAAGACATCTATATTCCCAGTTAGTTTTAGCTTTGAATTCATTAATTATATCGAAATCTCGACGAGCTAAAAGGAAATTTCAGGGAACCCAGTTCACCATTACCAATTTTTTTACCCTGAAAAAATAAAAAAACCCTGAAATTCCCTTCATTTGAGATGGTCATTTATCATGAGTTTTGGTCCACAGCCTTCGCTGAAACTCCCAGGGATCTCCGGGTCCCTAGAAAAACTTAAAAACTTTCTAATCTTCTTCCAGTCAGTGGCGTGGCGTGCTTTGCGATACATCGATTATTATGCCATTTAAACCTACGGAAAAATATCGATAAACAGGGTGTTCGCAGCGAACACTTTAATAATCGATTCTTTACCATAGGTTTAAATGGCATAATAATCCATACATCGCAAAGCACGCCACGCCACTGCTTCCAGTCTCCCCGAAAAGAAAGCCGTAGCGCCGAGCTGGCACGAACCCATAGAGTACTCTATGCACGAACCGTAAGAACAGATGGGTCTCAGAGCGGAATGAGAAGGAATTCCTGGATTTCAACACCGATTCCCTTTTGAATCTCGGCTTCTCCCGGTTTTTCCAGGCCCTGGGCTCCATGATCTCGACGTGGGCTCGGTCGGTCGGCAGCTGGATGGCGGAGCAGCAGACCGAGCGGAAGAGACTGACGAGTTGTGAAGGAAGAAGAGTCCGTGGCATTGACCTATCCGATTCTCGCTCAGGTGAGGGAATTCTAGGATTGCCCATTAATTTGGCAATCCGAGCGACGCGCGGCGCCCCGCGGAGGAGGGTGGCGTGTCCTGGAATCCCGTTCCTTGTTCCAGGCAGACGGCACCCCATTTCCTAGAACCCGGGTACACACCGTCGCTTGCCAGGTCGCCATGAAAACTCATTGATACCCGATACCCTCACCGCGACCTTGATTACTTTCGTTGCAGGGCCGGATTTGGGATTTGGTTAGTTGCGCGGGTCCGCGGGCCCCCAGAATCTGCACCTATTTGAGGAGGGGACTTTTGGGGTGAGTCATCCATGCGGAAGGAAAGAGGTAGGGATGCAAGAACCATGCACCCATTTTAAAAACCCTTTCCTCTTCAGAAATTTCAAGGTGGTGACTGCGCTGGTGCGCTGGGGCTCCGTACGTACAAATTGATACGATTTTGAGAAAAACACGTGATTTTTATCACAATTTGCCCAAAAGCATTTGATCTAAAACGCAGTTTTGCGTGGGGAGGGGGCGGTATTTTGACGGATTTTCCATCTAAAACATCGTTTTCGGAGCCGTCCCATTTACACACGCAACTGATCGGGAAATTTCGACGTTCCTCTGACGTAAGGGCGTATCTCGATTTCCGCGTCACCCCTGTTCTCCATATGATTCTATGCTTGCGGGGCTCATGTGGAAATAGAGATACGCCCTTACGTTGGAGGAGCGACGATTTGTACATCCCTAGGAGGGATCCCAATTTAGGAGGACTTCCCCGGAAAAATGTAAAATGAGAAATTTTAGGATACGCCATTGACTTGTATTCTTCCTGAGAATGAATACCTAATTTTCCCCGATTTCAACCCCCCTCCCCTTCCCCTCGGAAAATGACGGGGGAAAAAATCGCTGAAAACGGCCTTATTTGGCAGTATTACGTTGGCTCTACGACCTTCACATTCAAAGAGCGCGAATGCAAACGAGGATGCAGGTCGTGGGTGCATTTGTTGAGCGCAAGTATTTTCGTCTTGGCAAGAGCAAAGGGGGCAACGACCGGTTACCATTGAAACGAGACTTGGAAGGTTGACGCGTCCCTCGCGGGGGTACGTAGAAGCAATGCCGTGATCGGTCACAACCTTTCCCTCCGACTGATCCCTCTGTAGCCACGCAAGCGTCTATTCAACTTGAGAGGGAGAGATCTAAGTATGTGATAGCGAATCTGTGTCCCATGGCAGCGGTTCATGGGTGGGGTTCAGAGTATTGTTCGTAATTTTTACAGATATCGGAAATGAAATGAAAATATATTTAAAAGTGAGCAAATTTAATTTTTCGTGAGTCGTGACATCATATGGACTGCATTTTGCAATTTGGAACTATAAATTCTGGCCCGGTTTAAAAACAACGTATGTGCCATTAGTTTTCCTATGCACATAAGTGTTTTTTCAGATGAGCCAGAATTTATAGTTCCAAATTGCAAAGTGCAGTCCATATAAGGCAGTATTTCTCATTTGGACCGCGTTAAGCAGAAAGGAAACAAGCCACATCAGCTGTTGCCAAATTTTACTGGGAAATGTAATTTTTTACATGAAAACAGATGTGAGGATTGTTGTGCAAATTTTAGTGAAATGCTTGCATGGTACGAAGCAAATTCCTTAAAATTTTCGAAGGAATCCGCACATACGTTCTCTTGTATAAAAAATGCCCAATTAAATTTGGCAATAACTGATGTGGCTTGGTTGCTTTCTGGTTAACGAGGTCCATTTCGACACACGCGCTGTGGCACCAATTTTTCAATTACCTATTCCTCTGGCCGAGATTTTTTTTCTCGACTATTTTAATGAATCAAAAGTCTCTATCTCAGCTCTGGCTTACATACTAAATTTTTGCAAAGGGTTACCCGGCAACTCTAAAGCCTCACCACAACGCATTTTAGTAAAAAAAAAAATGATAAAAAAACATGTTGGAAATATGTATAAAGATATGTTAATTTTTAAACTTGTTTTCAAGTAAATACCAGCTACAATGGTGAGATTTGACGAGGATTAGATCGAACTTGTAAAAAGGGATGTTATGTTTTGGAAATTTGCCGCGGCAAGCCTTAATCCACTCTTCGTTCACAATTTTTCCCACCACCGCAATCAACACAGGAGTGGGAAATTCTTCATGTTTTGGTGCGGGAAAATTTTTAAACCGGGCATGGATACGACACGAAAGCTCTCTTGAAAATAATGAATGGATACGTATTTATGCTAAAAGGAACTATGTGCATATAGGGTTTGTGTGCAACATAGTTCCTTTTAGTATAAATACGTCCAAATTAATGAGTGCTTAACCTTTGGTAGTCTAATTCTGGACGACGCAACTTCAACAGGCGTGAAAATAAACGTTTCTCTTGAGGAAAGCTGCACCTGACAATCTAAACCTAGATAAAAAACTAGAAAGGACAAACAATCACACCACTTGACGCATCATAGGTATGAAATTCCACCGGCTTTCTGCCATGCTAAGGAAAAACGCCGTATGAGCCTTTAGACGTTGCCAGATTTGCTTTACCTAAAACCGAATTTACTGGAAAATTTTGAATTTCATGAGAATTTTTCAGATAATTTTGTTCGCGGCTCGATCTAACATATCCGAAAATTTCAATAAAAAACATGCATAACTTTCCTCAAAAACACATGTTTTATCCGGAGAAATCTGACAACTCTCGAATGTTCTTACGGCATTTTTCCGTAGCACCGCAGCGTTCATCTGATAAGTGACGTCTCACCGCGTTTATTAGAATTTTTAGGTTAGCGGTGATAACGCGGACCGGGTTTTGAAAACTATGAGTAAGAAACTGCGAGCAAGAAATCAGGATAATTCAGTATGATCACCTAAAACGACGGCCAAGACCTATTTCCACAAATGTGAAAATCATAGACACCACTTGAGGTTTGAACACGTATCAACTTCTCGCGACCGTTATCTGATAAGAAAATGCACACGCCTTCCTATGCTTTAACAGGAATTTTTACGTCACGGAGCTGTGTGTACGGAGACAGGGTTTTTAAACGCAAGAGGAAGGAATTGCGAAAAATTAGGATAATACAGAATGATCGCGCTAAAAATTGGGGAACACTTTTCTCTACAAGTTGATTCTTATCAGTGTGATGATGCCTAATAAGAAAATGCTCACATCTTACTGCTTTATCAGGAACTGTTAAGTCTCATAGCGGTTTGGACGGATCGAGACAGGATTTTTTAATGCAGTAGAAAGGAACTACAAAAAATTAGGATAATACAGAATGATCGCGCTAAAAATTGGGGAACACTTTTTTCTACAAGTTGATTCTTATCAGTGTGATGATGCCTAATAAGAAAATGCTCACATCTTAGGTACTGCTTTATCAGGAACTTTTAGGTCTCATATCGGTGGGGACGGAGACAGGTATTTTTAAGGGAGGAACTACAAAAAATTAGGAAAATACAGAATGATCGCGCAAAAAATTGGGGAACACCTCTTTCTACAAGTTTACTCTTATCAATGTGACGATGCCTAATAAGAAAATGCTCACATCTTAAAGCTTCATCAGGAACTTTTATGTATCATAGCTGTGTGGACGGATCGAGACAGGATTTTTTAACGCAGGAGGAAGGAACTACAAAAAATTAGGATAATACAGAATGATCGCGCTAAAAATTGGGGAACACCTTTTTCTACACGTTTATTCTTATCAATGTGATGATGCCTAGTAAGAAAATGCTCACATCTTACCGCTTTTTCAGGAACTTTAGGTCTCAAAGCGGTGTGGACGGCGACAGGATTTTTCAGGGGAGGAACTACAAAAAATTAGAATAGTACCTACAGAATGATCGCGCTAAAAATCGGGGAACACTTTTTTCTACAAGGTGATTCTTATCAGTGTGATGATGCCAACGCCTCATTTACATGCGGGAGTTTTAAGTTGCAGAGACGGAAGGAAAATGTGGAAATCTGAGGTGGACTCACCGAGGGCTTTCATGATTTCCTCGAAGTTCTCGCTGGAATCGAGCTTGTACTTCTTGTTCAAATACTGATCGACCATGTTGGTGTCTTGTTTGGCGGATGTGGGGACGCTGGCGGCGAGACAGTAATCAACAGCGCACTGGAGGACTAGAAGCGTGACTGCTACGCGGAGCAGCGGCGAGGGCCGGAGCCTGCTGTCTCCCGCTCCCGAAGCAGCGCTCTCGGTCGGATACATGCGCGCGGCAGTGGCACACTCGAGACACCCAAACAAACGCCGCACCCGCGGGAACAGGACTCAGGATTCGGGACGAAGCTCGTGGAAGCCCAAAACCTCGCAGATTCCAGATTCGCGGAGCACCGGGAGTGTCGACCGAGGAGGGTGGCAATGCGCGCGAGATTGAGAATGCGATCGGATCAGCCGTGGCTCAGCTGGGGCAGAAACAGGAGGAAGGATCGAGGATCGGATAAATAGTTCGGGTTTCCCCCTCCACAGCGCGAGGCTTCGTTGCCAGCTCGGGACCCGGATTTCCAACCCGGAACTCGGGTGTGCTGTGTACTTGCCCCGTGTTCAAAGGGCCCCGATGGACGCCAGAGTGAGGGGAAGGCGCCACCATCGCCGCGCCGACGGAGGTAACCCTTCACCTCGCGGCTTGGAACCGACGCGGTCAGCGCAGATTAACCTAATTCCAACGAGGAATCATACTCCCAAGGGATCGTACCGGGATTAACCACGGGAAGCACTTTTTTCACATTCAAAAGCTTCATCGTTGACTCCTACTTAATGCTCATTGCTCAATGAAATCCCTAACTCCTTCGATGATTTGAATTTTTTATGCCTAAAGAACTGCGATTTACATAGGTATTATAACGGTCTTGGTTATCCGCGGTGATTGGGACTGGGACTTCCCGTGGTTAATCCCGCAGGATTAACCACGGGAAGCACTTTTTTCACCGTCAAAAGCTCCATCGTTGACTCCTACTTAACACTCATTGTCTTCGATAATTTGAATTTTTTATGCCTAAAGAACTGCGATTTACATAGGTATTATAACGGTCTTGGTTATCCGCGATGATGGGGACTGGGAGTTCGTGGATAATCAAAATCGCGGAAATTCCGAAACTATGCTTTGGGGCCGTTCAAAAAAACGTAACGCTCTAGAAAGAGCGGTCTAACGGTCCGTGACGGTCTTGGTTATCCGCGGTGATAGGGACTGGGACTTTGTGGATAATCAAAATCGCGGAAATTCCGAAACTATGCTTTGGGGCCTTTCACAAACAAAGTAACGCTCTAGAAAGAGGGGTGTCAAGGCAAGGGGGCCATGGGTCAAGGTGGGGATAACGCGATTTTATTTTTCCGTGATAATAGGGTAGAGATATACGTTACCGAAGTATTACGCATTTTATGAACGGCCCCTATTTGGCCTGGAAAGTGCTCAAAAAGGCTGTATTTTAAAGGACACCATCAAAACACCCGTTCATATTGGAAAGAAGTGTTTTTACTGGCTTTCGCTAAATGAATTTTACTTGAGAAGCGGTAATTTTGGCTAAAACATAATTTCTGGCGGATTTTTGTTTTTGTTTATTTGGACTATGCGCCATAAAGATGTAAAGTTTTTTCCAAAAAGTACCGAAAAAACCGCGGTTATTGGCACCGCGATTAATCGAGCCTCTATACTGTCCTTGCAGTGCAGTACTCCTCCTTACTTAGTATTTTAGCACTACGTCTCGGTCTCTACTGCGGGGCTGAGAAAAGCAGAAACGACCAAATTTTCAGCGAGAGATTTCTACCTTATGTGCGAAGGGAATGATCTCACTACAACATCAAATTCAAAAACTTTCAGTAAAAAAAAGAAGAGTTGTGAACGAGCGCATGTGCGTAAACTTTTCTGGCGTAAATCGGGAATTCTCTACTTGACCCCATAAGACACAAGTATTTACTTAAGATTGTATGCCTTCGATTATTTATATATAATTGTTCTGATACATGTATGCCCAGCAGTACTCAATCAAGCAATAAGTGTCGCTCACTGCTATCTTGCGTAACATGAGATGGATAAATCCCTTGTTTTTTTAGTCGAAAATAAAATTCGCCTTGGACACATTTTGCAATACGGGAATACTGTATCCGACTCATTTCAGTGATAACTTATGCGCCATCAGTTTCCCTATGCAAATCGGTGATTTTATTCGGGAGCTCAGCGATAGCAGTTCCTTATTGCAAAATGTAGTCCAACACTAAATTAATATTTCGCAAACTTCATCTATTCTCCTCAGTGCGCCAGCGCGTTTCCTCTGACTGAAGATAAATAGACTGTATAATAATGATTATTGTAATGATGATAAAGATGGCAAAGGTAAGAACTACGACTAAATTGTAAAAAAAAAAATAATAATAAGTCTTTGGTTCACTTTTTCCATTTGAGTCTCTGCTATGTCCTGAAAGCAGGTGGGATTTTTCAGTCGAGGAATAAAATGTCTAACCGACTTCGTAACAAAAAATATGATAACACGTGCATCTGTTAATTCACATAATTTTTTTCGCTTTTCGCAAGAGGAAAGAGATCAATACGAAATGAAACTCAGGGTATCATAACATATTGAAACGGTATTGAGGTTTCATTTTTGCGCGCGCACATGTATCAGCTCATGTGCGCGCGTGTTACCGCGCCGCGCGTAAACCGCATAAAGGTTATGCAGTAAGAACGGATTCTCCACACACTTTTACATGACAGTTGCTCAGAAAGTGACTTATGACCTTGTTTCCGCATTATTATGAAAAACTAGCCGGTGAGAATGCAAGTCATGATGCCGAGCCAAGACATTTTCATTTATTAAATCCTCGTTGAAGCGCGATGCAATTGTTGAATACACTTCTGAGAATGCAACTATTTTAACTCCTAGGGTGCGATTTTGCCTAGTCAATCAGATGAAGGCGAAACACTCCGTAAACCAGGAGGACCGGATGATCCAGCGACGAGGAGGTAGATACATCCTGGGGACGGATGAAAACTTTTAATTTCAGCGATTCAACCTCTCTCAATGGAGAGTCGGACTACATTTTGGAATAAGGAACTATTATTTCAGGCTCATTTTAGAAAAAAACATATAGGCCTTAAGTTTCCAGCGCGATTAGGCTCCTCTACAGATGAGCCAGAAATGGTAGTTTTTACATACAAAATGAAGGCCAATTGACCTACATTTTGCAAATAGGAACATCAAATTCTGGCTCAATTTAGGAACAACGGATATACCCTTGGTTTCTCTATGCAAATAAGCGTGTTTATGGATGAGCCAGAAATTTTAGCTCCTATACTTAGCCCTCTATGACTGCAAAATGTAGTCCGATTAAATCCCAGCAACTGACATCATCACCCTTAAGTTGCCTGTTGACCTACCAACCCACTGGATGGCTGATAAGCTTGGGGTCGCACAATATGTCAAACAAGTATACCCAACATTGGCTTGTTTGCTGAACGGAGTGTTGAACAAACACGTCGTGAAACATCCACTTTATATCGTACTTAAGTCAACAGTTGAATGTTGCAGTCCCGAAAGTAAGAGCTTACAGCATTGCGCGAGTAGATACTGGATCTCTCCATGTTTCTGAGACCGGCGCTTAAAAGATCACATAAGAGATTTTCCTTCATTTGATCGAATAGGCAAAAATGCATCCCACGTGTCGAAATAGTCGCATCCTCAAAACTGACCCATCCGTTCCTACAAGCATTCGGGCCGTATTCACAGTTGTTCTGATAATTTCAAAGCCTCCTTCAGCCTTTTGAATATGTTTGAGGTACGGTAAAAATATGGTCACGCTACGGTAATAATATGGTTACATTATAAGGTAAGAATATTGCTGGAATGGTTCAGGAGGCCTTTACGTTTGAGGGACAGTTATGAGGAGGTTTCTTATTTAGGGAGCTGTTTTTTAGGGATAGCGAGCCTCAGACGCCACTTTTTCTGGACTTCTTTAATGTAGTGGCCCGAAAAGAGCTATCTTCATATTTTGCGAATTAAAAACAAATTGCTTCGAGGGAATTCTTCTTACCGGGGAGTTATCATAGTTAAAGTTGTGAGGCAAAATCTTTACATCAGCTTACAGCAGTCTTACAGCAGTTGATTCAATTTTGGTTGGTTTATTCTGTTTAATTGAACACGTGGTTTGCTTGAGAGGGAAAAATGGAAAATCTGGAATGAGGAATTACCGCAAGAATAGTTATGGCGTTCTCGTCACGAACCAGTTGGGATGATTGACGAGCAAGTGACGTGATCTATTGGATAAACAAGATTCAGTTGACCACTCTCTTAGCAAACTGTTCGACGCAATATGAATTAGTTATTAGTGAGGGTTGCTGCTCATAAGAAAATGCGGAAAATGAGAAACAATGTAGGAATACCACTCCATTGCGATGTCTCTGGTGTCTTCTCAATTCCTTCGCTATTCACATGACATGTAGAACTTTTCAGGACAACACTGAGGTCAAACCGCGAGAAAATGCTTTCCCATCTCATAGAAAAATGAACATTTTGAACAATTTAACGCAAAGTTACTCTCACGAAGTTCGTTGCACATGCCGAGAATGATTTTGTAGGAAAAATTACGAAGCCCTGTTGTATTACCCTTGCAATTAAGGGGCATTGCCAATACAATGATACATTAAACGAAAAATTTTATAATTTGATATATCTCTTTATTTACCCCTGATAAAAGTATACAATACAAACACCTTAAAACTAAACATTTAAAAACCAAAGAATAAGCAGTTTTAAAATAAATGAAATTAAATAAAGAAGAGCAAAACAGAAAAACAGAAATTAAAAATAAATACCCTTTAAAAAAAGAGAACAGAGAGTGCGAGAAAAAAAAATTACAGCACTAAGCGGTAAGTAATGGACTTCGGACCACCTCCCTTCCTCCTTCCCCTGACGAACTCGTAACGCAATCTGAGATCTATCACCCCCCTCCATTTAAGTGGTATGAGTATTTTATGAACAACCCCTGCGTTGTTTTTCCTAAATTTCATCATGCAACTATCACTTGGCGCTTTTGTGTAGGGCATTGTATGGCAAAGCAACAAATGGTTTGTTCTTTAGCCGTCTGTCGCACTAATAAGTTGGATTAGGGTAGAATCGTCTTGGATGGGGGGTTAAAAGAGTCTGATCCCTCTCGTGCGTGGGACCCGAAGTTCAGGTCATATGGATCTTTGAAGTTTTCGGATTGAGCATCTGAACACTTTAGGTCTAGCTGTCGAGGTTCGGATTACACATCTGAAACTTCAGTTCTTACATCTGAAGTACTTCAGATGTGAGAACCGAAGTTTTTCGGGTGTGAAAACCGAAGTATACTTCAGATGTAAGAACTGAAGTTTCAGATGTGTGATCCAAACCTCAGCAGCTGGACCTAAAGTGTTCAGATGCTCAATCCGAAAACTTCAGAGATCCATATGACCTAAATTTGGGTCCCATGCACGAAGTTTTTTTCTCCGTGCAACTTCCCGCCAATGAGTAATTTTGAGATGCGATTTTTTTTTTTTCCATATTCCTAATCAATACTCACAGTTTTTTGCTTTTTACAAAAGCGGTGATTATTTGATTTAATTCCGGGTTAAAAATGCCAAAATGCGGCCACCAAGCAAGCGCTACCTTCGGTGTTCACACGAAAGGGCAACCATGTGGCTCCGTGGCACCGGTGGCGTCACTTTGCGTACGCGTCTAGTTTCGTGGCCCCCTCGCCCTCCTCGCTTGGCTCGCGGTCCCTCCAACCCCGTCCCACCCTTCCCGCACAGTGGAGCATATCAATGGGACAAATCGGACACAGTGTGGAAACTTTAAAACTTATACCCTCGTTAATACAAGGCGTAAGGGTTTAAAGGTGGTTCCTTCGTAAAAATATGCGCGTTTTAAAATGCACAACGTTGCAAAATTTCCATGAAAATATGCGGTTTTACTTGAAAAAATTAATGTGGTGCCTCTCCTAGCGGCTCGTTCCCATGTGCGGCGGGCGACGTGACGCGCCAGAGTCCCGTTTACCCCATTGTCGCGAGCTCCGCATTGAAATCCTTCCGTCGAACGGGGAAAATGGAACAAATGCCTCGCGAAACGGAAACGCTGGTCAACCCCTCCTCCCCATCCCCGACTCAATCGATAGCCGGCGAAGGGCGCTCCGCTGCCAGCGTGTCGCACCACGCGGGATTTCCTCCTGAGGGTCGACTTCGAGGGATGGACAAAACGCCGTATGAGCCATCCGATGTTGCCGAATTTCTCCCACACTGAAAAAAATCTCGGTGTATTTACTGAGAAAAAGGTAAAATTACCAAGAATTCAGGATTCTATTTGATCCCAGTTTTTTCTTGGTAAAATTACCATTTATGGAATTGGTAATTTTACCGAAAAATCTCGGTAAAATTATTGAACTTTCGCGGTAATTTTACTGGACCTTGGTAAAAACGCCAATATTTTTTATCGACTGTGGTAGAATTACCGAGATAAAATGGCAAAGTTACCGGGAATTGATTACCAATTAAAGTGGTATTCTTACCATAAAAAAACTGTAAAAATACCGGTTTTTAGGTAAGTTTACCAGTCTGTCTTGGTAAAATTACCAATACCTAATTGATAAAAAAAGGTGAGATGGTAAAGGTGCCAACGGATCTTGGTAAAAACGCCGAGAATTTTTTTTCAGTGCAATTTATATTTAATACCATTAATTTTTGAGGACGATTTTTGAATATTTCTCGTTTTTCGTTTTTCAAATATTTTAGATCACTCGGATTGCATTTTGCAAAAAGGAACCAAGAGCATTCCAATGTCGCTTAGTTTGTGCGACTTTTTTTACCGCGCAAATGTAAACTAATCATCTGAACAAGTTTTATCCTCACTCCCAATGAACTCAAAATTCAAGACAAAAATTGTATTTTTAAGTTTAATTTTTGCATGGTTTCGGTAATTTTATTTGCAAGAGATGTAAGTTGAACAATCCTAGCAACACTGAAATTCTCTTGGTACCTTTTGGAAAAATGCACTCCCCCTATAAGCCTTCTAGATGAGGGGTTTGAGCTTGACTTGGCGGGTGTTACGCGGAGGGTGAGAGGAGTAAAGCCGAATCGTAGAAAAAAAATGTGTGTAATAGGAGAGAATTTTGCAACGCCCTAGTGTCCAAAAGGCGTTTTTTCTTATCACGACAGATTAGCATGTCGATGAATTGCCAGACTTCGGGTAAGGCTTCTGGGAGAAGCGCTTATACATTGATATTCTTCGGCGTTTCCGCTTGTGTCACGTGAGGATGGCGCGAGTGGCGGCAAATTTGGACGAGACTGTCATCTTCATTGAGTGGAAACAACAACATGCTACATTCATCGTTCAGCAATAATGAATTATTCTTTTTAAAAATTCATTGTTTGTGATCATTATTTCTCTTTGAATTGCTACATGAAATATTATCTTACTTTCCCACCAAACTGCTGCATGAAGTCTAAATAATACAATATTTCCTCCTCGTGAAGCGTAAGTGAACTGTCGATTAAAATTGTTGAAATTTCGTCCCGCTTAAGTTGATTAAGCTCGCAGTCTTTAATTTTAAAAATGATATTTCGTAAGAGTTTCCGAAAAATTCTATTGCTGAAAAACGTAGAAAAATAGTTAAGTTTCGACGAAATTATACGTTTTGGAAGTCAGCTTAGGAGTTTGAAGCGCAATTCTGCATACAAAATTAAAAAATAGGTAGATAAAAATGTATTTAAAAAATGTCATAAATGATTACAAATGAACAAAAAGAAACAATCTACAATTCCTGCATTTAGATTTCAAACAGCACGAGATGAAGGACTTGCTCCAAAGACTCACTGCAAAGAAGATAAAAAAACTTTGAAACAACCTCACCTCGTCTCGTCGCAGTAACCATGAGAAGGACAGAAGGACTGTGAGACTTCGGTAACACCAAAACGCCTTCAATTCCTCTGACAAGCAACTTATTCTGCCAAATACTGCTGATTGCATATGCGAGCATTTGTAGGCACTTTCTCCCGATCTTATAAACTCTTTCTTAGTCTGAAGACTGTATTCATAGTCACTCCTTCCCATCGGAGAACGTCAAATTAGAACACACTGCCATTATAATTATAAATGGGACATTTTTAACGCACTTTCAGTTAAATTTAGTACAACTTCAAAAATAGATCCTTGCAAAAGATCAAAGTGAGGATACAAGAAGATTACGAGAAAAATTATCATGATGTTGACAAAATTTAAGGAAGGCTACGGACCTTCCTTAAAATAATCAAAACTCGTATTTTGTAATTTATGTAGTGACACATCATTGTGATCTCTTACAAAGTTATCTTGTCTAATATCCAGGTGGGAGGATGGGATTGAAGCAGAAATGTCAGTGTAATCAGTTCGGGGCCGCCCTGAGAAAAGAAGCCATTTGAGGAGCCACGATGATAATAACCCCTCTAGTACGAAACAATGCTCCTTTGACGTAAGCTCACCCCCTCCCCTCACCCTAAAGTGATACGTGTTTTATGAACGGCTCCTGGACGTCCCAAAAAATTCAACTAACACAGCAAAAAGGAAGTTCTTTAAGTGGTCAAGAGTTCGGATTCCTTATCCTTGAGAGCAGCATCGACTTTCTTAATCGCAGCATTGGCGAGCTTCTGAACATGATCGTGGGATCGTCGCTCATCATCCTCGCTGATCTCCTTGTCTTTGAGGAGGCGTTTGACTTTGACGTTGACGTCCCGGCGGACGGCGCGGATGGAGACCCGGGCCTGCTCGGCCTCCGCTTTGACGACTTTGACGAGGTCCCGGCGTCGGTCCTCGGTGAGCGGCGGGACAGGAACGCGAACCACGGCGCCGGCCCTCGAAGGGTTGAGCCCGAGACCCGAGTTGAGGATGGCCTTCTCCACGGCCGGCGCCACCGACGGGTCGTACACCGTTATCGCCAGTGTCCGGGCGTCTTCGGCCACCGTGTTGCCCACCTGCCGCAGCGGCGAGTGGCCCCCGTAGCAATCTACCTGCACACAGATCGAAAACTTATTGAAATTTTCTCAGATAACGGCAGACATACCTGCGAGTTACGCCGGAATCACACCCTGAATGTAACTGAATGTGGAAGTCATCGGATTGATGCCTGAATTTCGCGCGTGTCGCGCAAAATTCAGTAACGATTCTCAGCAACCATCGGATAATGTCGAAATCGTCTGAACTATTCAAATAGATTTGATACAAATCTAGATGAAAGTAGCTGGAATTTAGCTGGAATAGCTGAAACCAAACGCTTTGATCGCCTTCAAATTTGGCGATACTTCTCGCTTCTCCGGGAGGTTAGTTTGGTCGCGTGACCCAACCAAACGCTTTGAACGCCTTCAAATCTGGCGATACTTCTCGCTTTGCTGGAAGGTTAGTTTAGTTGCGTGACCCAACCAAATGCTTAGAACGCCTTCATATCCGGCGATACTTCCCGCTTCTCCAGGAGGTTAGTTTGTAGAAGTCGTCGGCCCGATACATGAATTTTGCGCGTGACGCGCAAAATTCAGCAACCATTCTCAGCAACCATCGGACCAATTTTGAATTTGTTTGAACTATTCGAGTAGATTTGATACACATCTGGATGAAAATAACTCGAATTTGCAAAATTTCAGCCGTTGAGCGATGACTGTTGACCTCCATATTCAGCTGCCAAATTCAGCGTGTGATTCCGACATTACAAGCTCTTGTTGAAATTGAAACACCAATAGGGAACCAGGATCTCGGTCGCGCGACGTGGAGCTATCGAAATACTCCTTGCCTGTTGGTGTTGGGGTTTCGCACTTTCAACAAGCGCTTGTAACTCGCAGGTGTGTCTGGGTCTTAAATAATGTAATCGTAATGTACCTTTTACATGCGCCACAGGAATTTGCGAAACAAGAGCATATCCTTTGCAAAATTTCTCTTGGTGCCGCTGGTTTTCTTTAAAACGAACTCCAAAGCTCAAAAAAGCCACCAAAGTTGAGCCCGTAACGGAGGTTATCGCTTGCAGCTTGCGTTATACGATCAAACTCTCCATGCACAGGAAGGGGCAAAAAAATTATCAGGGTTACTGTGCCTGCAGCATTGAAGTCTTCGCGAAGTTGCGATCCCACGAATATACAAATATTTGCTCCCTAAATTGACATTTTTGACAATTTGTTAGCATTAAAATAGTGAGCAAATATAGCGTGAGGTTGAGATACAGGGGTGGCCTGGACCAACACCGTGACGTAAGCGATCCTGATCCCCTCCGTTACGGCCTAAACTTTTACAGCTTTTTCTGAAGCTTTGGAGTTTGTTTTGAAGAAATTCAGTACATTTTGTTTCAAGCAACATTTTACAAAGGATTTTGCTCTTAAATCGCAAATCTCTAGGGAATGCAAGAGCTTTATTGAATGGTCTGATGCACTAATCTGGCAAGTGCATTTACTGCAATTTTGATAAAAATGTGGGCGAAATAGTGTATAATTTTTGACGAAAAGGCATTCTTCACGTTCCATGAGTGCGGTTTTTAACAACCATATCTTCATATTCTTGTTTTTGAATTTGCATTTTTATCATGATACATCTAAAGAAAAACGATCGTACTCCAAAACGATCTCACTCGGTTTTCTAAAAAATTTTACTTTATTGGCTATTGAATGCGTTCGGCCTATCAATGACTATTGCACCTTATACTTACCTTAAAATCGTACGGAGAGAGATTAAATAAGTTTTTCGCATAAACTATATTATGGTTAAATAGCAGTTTAGATTAAGAGGAAATTTCTTTGAGCATTAAAATCCTTAGCAAACTTCGTGTCACAAACAAGAAGGGAAAGTTTAATTCCTGAGGTGTTTCGAAATTTCAAGATTTTTCACTGTTTCCGTACCTGAATTCCTTCAAGCAAACTCGGGCAAGCCCGCCCGGTCCGTACCTTGGCCATCTGGGCCACGAGCGCCTCCACGCATTTCTTCATACGCTGATCAGCATCTTTTTCCAAGTCACTGATCTCGTCCGAAATCACACTCGTCGCCAATGACTGAAAAACAGACAACAAATTGAAAATTGAAATCACGCTGAAATGTAAATTTTGGAGCTAAATGGGTTAGGAAAAACCTACACGAGAGTGGCTGCCGCCATTCCTGAGCCTTTTGGTTAAAAAGTGAACAGAAATGCTTCAGGGAGAAAAAAATCGTACTTTACTGCCCTTTGCATGCGGATGTTTTGCTGTCTCAGAATGTATGGAATCGCAAACAAAAAGATGTGACAGCACCGCATGTGGCCCCTACGTGAGGAACTAGAAACTTTTCGTGAGGTGCAGAAGGGAACCCTCGGGAGACACAGATAGACACCCCCATTGAAGGGGGTCTAAAGGACTCCACTAGCAGTTAAGGTGGGGAGGGGGAATTCTCATCCCTAGAAGGGGACCTCAAGGAGTCTCTTCGGGAATAATTTTGGAAAAATAAGTCGACTCGAGAGCAACTTTGAGCTATTCCAACCGAAAAGTTAATTGAAATAAAATTTCAAACATGAGATATACCTGAGTCACGCCCTTATTTAGAAGAATCCCTCACATTTCCTGGAGAGGGCCGGACAGATTTTTGGAAGGGGGCAACCCCCCGGCTCCCCCTCAGTTCTGCCCATCGTAGCCTCTCAAGATCGAGATTTAATTGGGCGCTTTAAATTAATATTTCCAAAGAAAAAAAAAAATCTGCCCTTAAGGGTGTTCCTGTCACTCACCAAACAACCGATGCACACAATCAAAATCATAATTCAAGTTTTTCGTTATGAAGTGTGACATGCACTATATATCAAACATTTTGACTCTGAAATCATTCGAACTCGACGAAAGAGTCAACTAAATTAGATTTCTTTGATAACATGACACGTGGAGTGCTTGGTAGCCATCGAATCTTTCTCAGATCGAATATTTCGATTGACGCTGTGCATCGAAACACATTCGATTAATCGGTGGTAAGAATATTGACGATATGTCGTTAAACGCATAAAGACTGGTCGTGTTTTGTAAGATTCCTCTGTTTTTGCGTTTCTCACGAAAAGAGTATGATTGTTTGCAAGTTTGATTTACTGGAGTATTACGAAGAAAACAGTTTACCTAGTCGCTTTAAATTTTATTTGAAAATTACGCGTAAGATTTTGAATTTTGAACGCGTCTAATTATAATAAAACTTAATGTATTTGGTTTCTATGTTTCAGCGGAGGAGCTGCGAATTTTTGTGGCAAAAGCTTTGACGGCGAATTGGAAACAGAGACAGCGGCGCAGGATGATTAAATGGACTGCATTTTGCAATTTGGAACTATTAATTCTAGCCCGGTTTAAAACAACGTATTTGCCATTAGTTTCCCTATGCACATAAGTGTTTTTCCAGAAGAGCCAAAATTTATAGTTCCAAATTGCAAAATGCAGTCCAAATCAACTTCAGTGCGATACAAACAGCGTTCAAGTTGAGTGAGCCTGCGATCCCGATGAGTAGGCAACTATTTTAACTCGTCAGAGTTGCGTTGCGTCGCTGCAGATTGAAGGCAAACCTTTCATCTCGCGCTATAGTACAACACTTTTTAAACCTGATCATTCAGGGAACATGGTCTTGTCGAGGGAAAGATTTTCCGTTGCTTTTCTATTGCGATGATATTCATGCAGGTTCGTTTCTTGTTCATCATATCAGAAGGAATGTGCCTCAGATATTTCAGGAGGCGTCGTGCATCGTATTCAAAATACAGTGCCACTTTCCGTAGAATCCCAATGGTTCCAAGAGACTCAATGGTTTTTATGCAAGTGCGCTGAAAACGTTTTGCGACTTTGGGATTTTTCAACCAAATGATTTGGTTGATTTCATCCAAAAATTTGGTCAATTTAACCAAAGGTTAAAGCAGCAATGAGAAATTAATCGAAATTTTGTGTTCGGTACTCTGCGTTCTACTACCCAAATTAGAACAACATTTTGATAACTCTTTTTATTTTGCACACGGATTTCAATTTTTTCATCAAAACAGGACTCCAACGTAAAAATGGTGCCATCTCAACGGGAAAATTTCCATCTACCGATTCGTACATACATACCTCAAGCCAGAAAAAGGCGCCCAGGAGAAGGAGGACACAGAGGGTAGTCAGTGGCGTCGGCGGCGAGTCGTAATTGAGTAAGTGTCTCTGCGGCTAGGGCCAGGTCCTATCTTCTGTGCATTGGTGTTTCAGTACATGCTTACATGGGTCCTCACAGGAACAGTTGCTACGACAGTGAAATTACCAGAGCGCGTTCACGGGGCGACATCGACATCATCGGCACTGCGCCTTCGTCGCTGTGCTTCCCTGACCTCTGACACTCGTTACTCCAGCACAATCAGTGCAGATTGACGGGATGGAGTTGCCATGTCAACGTCGTAAATAGTCTCACAGAATTGCCTAGGATTCTGCAGAGTATCTATATTCCATAACTAGGGGACGGAAAGCCTTAATAACATGTTCATCGATTCGAGAAATCAGGGTGAAACCACAGTTCCGTTGCCTGCAGCGTATTTGACAATTTAAGAACCCTGTGTCTTAGGACTAGTGTAAATTACCTATCACACCCGATTTGTTTACACGTAAGGATTTCCAACTAAGTATGTCTAGAATAAAAACAGCTCAATTTTTCAAAAATTGCTAATGAGGTCTCTTCGGATAGTAAAATACATAGAGAGACATGGAAAGAGTATGGGTCATCATAGGTGGATGCAAGGAGCCTCTCCGTTCGCCCGAAAAAAGGAGGGAAAAAAGGGAAGAATGAGAGAAAGATGGAGCAGCAGAAAGAGGAAGGACGCTTATATTTGGCAATTATTCATGACAAAATTGACTCAAACTGCACATTGGATGCTTTAAAATTTCAAAAATTTTCTGGGAGAGCCCCCCTACCCCCATTCTATGGTATAGGCGTTCAGGTTTCGTCTATGATATAGGCAAATTTTTTTTTTTTTTTTTTTTATTAAAATAAAATTGTACAACTGCCCCTTACGGGGCATTAATTACATTGATGTTAATGTGATCTTAAAGCTAATCTTAAAACTAATGTCACAAGATTTTGTTCTTAAATATAGGCAAATGGTCTTGTAGAAAGCATGGAAACCCGCAGGATAAAAACTGGCGGCGACGTGAGGTGGGAGCGGGTGAGGAGGAGTCGTTGTCAACTTTCGACGTATATCACTCGCTGCACCTATTACCAACCTTACCGTAATGGAGGTTCAAGTTAAAACATTTTTTTCAAATGCAATTTGCAACATTGTAATGATCGTGCCCCGAATGCATAGCGTCAAACCTGAGGATCCACCTTAAGAGACTCAAGGGCAAATAAAAATTAGTGCAATTAAGCACGCTCAAAATTTTAAAATTTACGATGTATGGATTGGTCAAAGAATCGAACATCCCTAACTCGAGCGAGAAGCTCACGCGACAACGCTGCTAACGCTGGAACGGCGCTCACAAATGCAAACCAAAATGTCAACAGTCAACAGTCAACGGTGAGGCGGTTACCAAGCGGCACTTGAAAATCGCCGCTCGCTGAAAGCATATTCTGCGCGAGCTTTTGCCCATCCCTCTCCACACTTCCTCCTTTTTCTCTATAGAAAAGTTCGCAAAGAGTGCCGACGCGTGACTGAAGGTTATCGAGACGCGTGCGCCTCAGCTGGAGAGCGATAGTGACTTGAATTTCAGTTCTCAGCTCGGGTTTTCGCTCGAATTCGACTATATTTAGTGTTGTCTCCATTTCAAACCACCTGGTGTTGATTATGATCTCTAGTTGATAGGTTTTGGAATAAAAAGCGTGTGCTCAAGGATTATGCTACCACTGCTCCGTTCGGATTAATCAAGGACTGATCACAAGGGTATAAGGGTGCACAGCTAAGGAAGGTACGTTTTTATATATCCAACAGCGACTAAAATTAACACCTCTACACTCCCTCGCTTTTTTTTAACTACATTGACAATGTCGGTATTTTTTTTTTTTTTTTTCTTTTTTTTTCTTTTTTTTTCAATTAAAGTCTGAATCAGAGATTATTCACGAGGACCTTGAGGCTTCACATGAATGTAAATTTTTATTAAAAAAATCCGTTTCTAATCTATAAAAAAGAGATACATATAGGTGGATCGATAGAAAAATATGCAGTTGAAATAGACCCTATTCATAAAATGTCAACAAACAGGGAACTTTTCATGCCACGTAGCGACATAAATCACTCGTTGTTTCGCCTGGCGAAGTCTCTTGTCAATGAGGCATGAAAAGGGAAAAAAATGATTTACTTGAACTCTTTTTTTCACGAAAAAGTCAAAATTTCAAAAACTTATGAGCCTTAATAATGATTATGACATTGGTTCAACACATGAGTCTCGATGTCTAAAATGTGGGAGACTGATTGTAAGTATGTACATTTTCAGCGTTGCGTTGATTCTAACATTGACCTCTGTTTTTCTCAATAAGCTCGGTTTGGCTCCAAAAAAGCGGAATTCGGCCCAATGATAGAATTTTTTCCATGGATTTTCAATTTTCCGGAAAATTTGCGCATGATAGAGAAAAATTAAAATAATTTTTTCGCTTAAGCGGCCGAAGATTCATACAAATACGGAGGTGGCATGTCTGAGAATTTTCCCTGTCGTTTTTGTGATGACAAGGTTTTATTTTTAAAATACACCATCTCTAGATCACTCTAGGGGTTTGATGGGGAATTTTGTTGTAATTTTTAGATTCAAGTCTTAAAATGACCATAGTTTTTTTCCTTCACCCACCAATTTTCTGTAAAATCGAGATTTTTTTGAAAACACCACGCTCATATTCTAAAGATAAACACATTACCAGAAAATTCACAGTTCATTGGTTCATGATGGAGAAAAACCGAATGAATTCGGCCGCTAAAAATACCTAGGTAAACATGTACCGCATGCCTAAACAAATTTTCCCCGCTGGGTATGATAACAAGGTGTTCCCGGTCAAATGCCAATTCACCCATATACCCCTACGTGAAATTGATCCGTTTGTTTTGATTCCGGAGGGACGAGAGTGACATTTTATCCAGGAATCAGATGGAACCACTCGTATTTACTTCTTTCTGCTGAGGGCAAAACTGATCTTCTCCGGAAAAGTGGATTCTCCCTTTTTTGGATGCCAAAAAATGCGTTTTTGGAAAATGTAATTTTTCAGAAAATTGATGGATGATCGGAAAAAAAGGATTTTGTGATTTTATTCGTTTCATTTACAGTAGAGGTGGCTTTGATATAAAATACGGGCAGCATCCAAAAAACGGACGTCATAATTTAAGATACACATGTGTATCACACTCATTTTAAAGGAATGTAATTGATCAGACCCACTTTTACGGAGCAGAGGGAATATATGTCTCCAATTGAGTTGGTCTTGGGTCAAATAATTAACCCATCGGTTGCACAACCAAAATGAAACTCTAATTTACGTTCGGACACTCGATATACTCTGTCCCACTAATCAAGTGCGCAATGAATAACCGACTTCTTAGCTACAGTTGTCTGCAAATAATGAAAAAACCATAAAACGAGTTCGAAAAACAATTATGCTCATTAGTGTCCCCTTATTTATGCGTTTATTATCATGCACCAATATCATAATTTTTGGAACTTAAATGGTCTTCTGCTTTGCACTCTTCTTCTGAAGTTACAAAACCCTTTTAATGGAACACTCTTAATCAAAAATGGGGGGGGGTACTATTTTATGTAATTATAAACACCATAAACAATAATCTGCTCCTAAAACTGGTGAAAAATAGCATAATATATCAAAGGCAAGGAAAAGAAGACTTGAACAATAAATGATTATACTTTTCACAACTCCATAGTTTATTCCTGCCGAATCTCCACGGGTTCACGCTTTACCCTGTGAGAGGGCATCTACTTTTCAGGGGCTTCATTTAAAAAAAAAAAAAAAAAATCTCAGGGAACGCAAAAGTCATTAAGAGAATAAAATGTTCTTAAGGTGAAGGCCAAACTTCAAAATATTCCTAAAAATACCCTAATATTGATCAAAAATGATCCAAATTTCTTCACAGCAAGGTCAACTCCAAATGCATGGGAGAGTTTATTACCTCCCCTACTTTCCCCAAAAGACGCTTCTGTTACTTTTGCAACTTCATGACCGAAGTCGATAAATTCGCATCTTCAATTGCGACGTTGCAAATCTTCATTTCTTTGAAGTTCTTCCTTCATTCCGTCCTTCATTCTTTCAATCTATTTTTTGTAGAAAGAAAACATCCGGTTTTTCTATAAATTTTCTATGAATTGTCTTCCCTTTTATCCAAAATATTCCAAGAAAATAAGCTAGGGTTTGTTTTGATCAATTTTCTTATAAAAAGGAAATAAAACAACACATGATTGACAACTTTGAAATTTACACTTTTTTCAACTCCTGCCATAGAATTTATGCGAATTTCCATCCGCCCAATTCTTTGATCATCGCTAAATATGCACACTTTGCGAGTGGAATAAATGAAAAATATAGCGGTATGCGGCCAAACTCATAGGTTTAACTCGTCATCGTATAAAATTGCATAGAGGGTTTGAGAGAAAGTTGGATATGACAGAATTTCATCGCATTATACCGTTGCTCTGTGATATGGTAATTTTCTTGCTTCACTTTGCTGCCGGTCTGTGGGGATCCACCCTAAGCTAATATTTGGAGCGAGATGCCAAATGTCCACTTGCAAAATGTAGTTCGACAAAAAAAACTGTGATGAAAATTCCTAACTGAAAATTTAGCTTATTTGTCTTCTAATTTCAAGCAAAAATCATCCAAATTATACACAGAAATTCCCAGATTATATTCTTGTAAAAAATTGAATATTTTGAGACAATTTTGCAACCTGGGAACGGGGTTACGTCCTTGGTCTGGAAAACGACGATTTTGTTGAAACTTTTCCTTTTTGGATGATAAGTTGCATGTCGCGTAACATTCGAGTTTAATTAAACTTTCCTCAAGTTTTGTTTCCGTGTGTCAGTATCATACGGTCGAGCTTCTCACCCTGTAGGGTTGGAGTGGAATATGAACCGCATTAATTGGGCTTGAGAATGGTGCAAGCGATTCATCCCTATGATGAGCGTCATAATATGATGTAATGATACTCGTTTTCTCTTTCGTTTCCTCCTTCCTTCAGAGAGGCCGCATATGATTTACATCGTAATAATTAAGGAGACCTTTAAAATCATAAAAAAGACAATTTTTACAAACCGCCATTGTTTAACAACATAACTTAGATATTCGATCCATGGGAGGGATTTAACTATTTGCCACTACAAAAAGTATAAAATACAAAAGAAAATATCGCAAATCTTGACAATTTTAAAGTAAATCTGCATCCACCTTAAGTTTGTCAAAATTAAAGAATCTGTTACTTTATATTTTGGATTTTGTGAAGAGTTAAACCATAATTGTAGTCCTTTGCATTCCTCCCAAAAATGTATTCCCACAATTATTCTGTTCAATTTTTCTCGCGGCTCGTAAAAATTTTTCTTTTAATGATGCTTTTCTGAAGGTCTCCATAAGCACAATGTAAACCATATTGCACCTTCTTAAGAAAGGTAGTTGTTCAAGGGACGACCATAAAAACTACCCTCAGACTTTCTTCGATGATTTTTCTTTTCTACGGAAGTACATCCTCGGGTTTAGAGAGTGCATCACGCATCATCGTTTGCGTAGGAGAAACCCAAGCGCCTTCATTTATTGGTGTATGCAACATAGACAGCCATTGAGGCGGAATAGTTGCATTTCAGGTGTTGAAATCAGTGATGTACTCGTCCGTCCGTTGGCCAAAATACAAATTGTTGTGTTTTCACCCTTTGTAAATAGGACGTGATGGTATTTCTCCGTATTTTTTTTAACTTTTCCATTTCGTCACCTTCCGGCCAAAGTATCACAAACGCCATGCAACGTTTCAAAATTTCCGCCGCCATTTAATTTTTTACAGAGACATTGTTGGTTGAATTTGTTTGAAAATTTCACTGAATTTTATCGGCAGTACAATGAAAATTCAGTGAAATTTTCGGACAGCTTCGTTGAAAAATTTCTCGGTAAAAAAATAAAATGACGGCGAAAATTGTATAAGTCGCATGGCGCTTGTGATACTTAGGCCGGACGATTCCTTTGCATGGATGGAGGAAATGAGAAGGCTTTTTCAAAACGATAAGCCGCCTCTGTGAGGTAATAGAAATACTGGTTAAAACAACGGGTTTTTATCTAGTTTCAACGAGAAATTCCTGTAGAGGCTTATTTATCATGCATTCCAGCTGATTCAACAGGAAATTCTCGGTGTATATATTTTACCGCCGAAAAGTTCTGACACCGAGCACGAGATCATTTGGCCCACCGTTGGACGTTAGTGATCAACGTTGCCGAAGTACTCAGGATATTTGACAATATCCAGTGATGGCTCTATATGGAGATTCCTAGAGCACTTCTCAAAATGGCAACATTGATTCTAACGACCTTTGAGTATAATCACGATCAATGGCGAGCCTTTACTACCACTGTGACCCGACGTGGATAGANNNNGGGGGGGGGGGGCTGCACAGCAGAGAGGTCATCGTAGCACACGTCATCCCATTAAAAGCCTCATTGACACGTAATATGCAAACGACTGATCCGATTCCATTGTTGTCAAGTTGGTCGCGATCTCGCTTTTTTAAAGTGCGTTTTCTTGCGGAAAGAATATCACAAGCATTGGAAATCATCGCGAGTTGACAACTCTGCATTTCGTCCGTTGAAATGTACGTAAAACAATAGATATTTATCGAGGGAGCTGTCCCAACTGGGATCGATATTTATAATGGATTCGAATGAAAAAAAGGCAAAGTTGCCGACTTGTGAAAATCGCCACCGATCAAGAGCGAGCGCT